TCTACATCCTTAACACATCATAACATATATCTATTTTTAAGGATGGATGGTTCAATTAGGTGTTTATAACCATTGTGTCAAATTCCAATTAGCCATTAACGGCTCCTCCTACAAGATCATTATTTTATCGATAAATGAATCTATCTAATAATGATTTAAAAGTCATCTAGCTGGAGATGGAAAACACAAACAATATAATTTATTATGATAATATTATGATAATTAATAAAACAATATAGGTCATGGTCAATCAACTTATTCAAATAGAGTGAGTAGAGATAAAATCGATCTCTCATGCATATTACAAAGGCAAGTGTAAGGGCATCTTCCAACAATGAACACTTTAAAATAAATGTATATGAGTTTTCAACCACATTCTAGATATTATATGTCTATGTAGCAAACACAATTAAAACCCTAATAATAATAGAGCATGATCACACACAAAGTATCACCCTTTCCATACCCTTTCCACAGGTATATAGGTATCCTCAAACTAATTATATGGCTTAACAGCCTCACTTACAGATAACTTAACATATGCTTCGGTAATATCAGGCTATCCTCTACTAAGGTAATGTTAATAATATTTACCTCAAGGACTATTATTGACCAATAACTAAAAATAAGTACAAACCCCTAAACAAGATATATAAAATTAATAACAAAAAATATTATTAATGAATAATTTTGTTTATAAATTATAGAATAGAAGTTGAAGGTATTTTTTTCTTTAAAAAGTTCATATACAAGTAATGAATATAGATGAATTTCATTAGAAGCACAATATTGTAAAATTTATAATGTATTTATGAAACTATCAAAAGAAAAAAGAAAAAAAATTGTTACAATAATAAAAGAGTTTAAATAAATTTTCTTTCTAAAAATAACTTCTAAGTTTCTCTATCTAGATTCTATATCCATCTGTTTTGCATATGTTTTGGTTCGAAATTACATAATATGTTCCTATCATTTACTAGAGTTTAAAGTTAATGAGATTAAGAAAATTAAGAAGTTTCAATTGAGGAAAGATCTTTACAATGATCTTATTGTTGGTAACTATAAAATGGAAGATAAATAGTTCTTCTAAATTTTTAAATGCATGTGAACTTCATTGTTTTTTTATTAAAGAAAACCTAACAAAATGTCAAGTTTCTGTACCAAACCATGAAATAGAGAAATAATAGTTAGTAGTTCCCTAATAGTTAGTAATCCTTTATCTAGTTTAGTAAGAATTCTAAGCAATTGAATCTCGAAAAAATCTTCATTCCTTACTATAATGTTGTTGTATTTTGTTGAATCATCCAATATATTTTACAATAGCAATAATGAGCCATGAGCCATGTGGGAATATCATTTTTTTTATTGTTGAGATTTATGTGATAGTTTTAAAAGGGGATCTTTCTTTTCAATAATTATTTTTCCTTAGGAATTTCTTCTTAAAGAGGATTAAGAAATTTCTTAGTCATGTTTAATGATATATTATTGATACCACATAAGTTTAGATAGGGGAAACAATTAATGTGATTTTGAAAATAGGTTACAAAGGTAAAGCATAACTTGAAGATGTTATTTACTAGTTTTGAAAAGAGAATGAAAGCTTAAGGTTTGTGGCTACATTCTTTTCTAAAATTTTATGGTTTTTGTATGAAATAGAGTTAGGGATTTTATGAAAGAGATGATATGCTAGGTAATAATTGCAATATAAACATTGTAGTTTGAGATTTTATGAAGGAAATGATAAAGTAAGTAATAATTGCAATATAAATTTTTTAGTTTTTGAAAACCTAAATGTTGCACATAATTAGCTAAATTATGCTCGTTTGAAATGATTTAATTAGCTGACATGTTAAATAAAAAGGTATGATTGATGTTTTTGAGTAATATAACTTATTTTTTAGATCCTTTATGGTCAATTCCTTCAATTGATTTTAACATTTAAATGACAATAGATATACTTTCATTAGCTCTAAAATAAAAAAATACAAGAAATATTGTTTACGCCAAAGACAAAGTTCCACATATTGAGTAAGTAAAAGTAATAATTATTCATTGTTGAATATTAAAATGAAGGATAAAATTGATCATTAATAGTGAAATTGAATAAGTCTGGGAAGAGTTCAAATTGATCAAAGAAATTAAAAAGTGATTAATCAAGGAAATTAAAAGTTATGATTATTTTTAGGAAGCAATCAACCAAGAGAATTAAAAGTCATTAATGCTCAAAAGAGTTAGAAATTATGATATACCTGGAAAAAGTAATTGATCAAGTAGATAAATGTAGATAAATGTTCATGTGATTGACCAAAAAACCAAGTCCTACTTTAAATAATAGTTTATAACAAATATAATAGTAAAAGTTACAAGTTAGTTAGGAATTATCTTAGTGTTGTGAAGGAGACATGCTAATAAAGATATGAATTGTATTAGGATTCAAGTTTCTAAGCTTTTAATTTGCTATGAGTCATTTGTATAAAGTTAAGAATTGTGTTCTCATAGGATTTCATCTATGTAATAATATAAAAAGGTCATCCAAGTATTTGAACTGATGGTTAACCCTATATACATATATTTTTATATATATAATTTACTTTTATTTTATAATTTATCTTTTTGAGTTATCCTTTATATATATTTCCTTGCTTTTCTTTATGATATTTATAGCTTATCTTTTTTATATTATTTTCTTATATTTTTCTAATTTAGTTTATCCTCGTGTTTTTTTTTTAATTTATTAAAATCAAATTGGTTTCTCTATATTTCATTGGATTTGCAAGTTCATACATGTATTGAAAATGATCGTCAACCTCATATACACATATATTTTTATATGCAATTCACTTTTTTTCTATTATTTATTTTTTTAACTATTTTTTATTTATATTTTTTTGTTCTTGTTTACAATTTTTATAACTTTATCTTTTTTATTTTGCTTTTTATATTTTTCCTGTTTAGTTTAGCCTCATGTTCATTCTTTTGGATATGTTAAAATCAAGTATGGTTTCCTATATTTCATTTGATTTGTAAAGTTATTTGTACTAATCCTAATTTATTTACACAATATTTCATATATATATATTGTATTATCATTGAAAGTACAAGAGTGTTTTTTTTTAATTTCTATTGAAAATTCAACAAAGTTTCCTCTAATTTTTTAATACCAAATTATTGACTCAACTAATTGTTATAACCTGTAAATAAAAATTTTAATATTTTTTTTTCATCATTTAGAACTTTCTTATTTGTATTAAACCCAACATAAGAACTCTTTTTTTTTCAATATTTACTCAAATGAATTAATTATTATATTAGTCAAAAAAATATTACAAATAATGAGATGATTAATTTAATTATGACGTAATGCAAGACACAAATTCATCTTAAAGTAAATAAATCTAAAAATGATTCCACATAATTACGATTATGTGTTTTCAAAAGAAAACTAATTTAAATACATCATTTGTACTTAACTTAGATTTATGTACCTTTTTGGATATAAAATTACATTACATAACAAAACATGCTATTAATTATATAGAAATTATTAATACAAGATCTACTATTCGGTTTAATGCTGCAAAGTACCTAAAAATTTATATAATATCCAATATAATTAATTTATAAACAATGAGTATTTATTATTACTACTTATAGAAATCGTTAATATAGTATTAGAATGAATATCTGGTTTGGGCTATCTATACAAATTGTATTAGTTGGGAGAATAATTTGTGAAATTTTTATAACATTGTGTGACGGTAGCAAGGAAGGTCTGGGAATCAACAATTTTTTATTTTTATCTGGCAATTAATGTGAATTATTAGCAGTTTCATGGTATGATGGTGTGGCTCATATGGCTAGGGTTCTGGTCATTTTTTCAAGTTTAATAGAGGTACAACAGCTGTGAAATTTTCACCACATAATCTAGATCTTACCCAAATCCCTTCAATTTGTAGGATTTCCTCTCAAATGTTTTGTAAATAAGCTTGAAAATACCCCCCTCTCTTCTCTATTGTTGGTGGTTATAGGGAGGGAAAAAAATGGGTATTTATATTTCAATATCATTTTGTCCATATCTTTTCTCTTTTCTAATAATTAATGTTATATTTTCTTTTATTTTTTTAATTTTATTTCTTGTAATTCAATTCTATATCCTTAATTTAATTTAATTCATTATATCTTAGGGTTAAGATTTTAATATTTTAAAAACATTAACTATTATTTATCTTCATTTATAATGCAATTTCTTTTATAATTTTTTTCTCGTTGGAAGGGATAAACAAAGAACATATAACAAAATTAATTTATAAATTATCTAATTGATCAATAGACAGAACACATATAATTTAATATCATCATCTTCTTATCAAAACAACATGGAACTAAAATCATAGGCATAAGTTTCTTTTCATTATATATCATGTGTTATCTTATCATTTGCAATCTAGCAATATGACAATAACATGATTACAATAGCTTTTTTCCTACAAGAACAATCCCATAGAAGCAAAAGATCCCACAAGAGTAGCACATGCATGAAGCAATGAGCTCATTTGCATTCGTTCCCTTCCTTAATGCTTCCTTGTCATATATGTAATTGCTTAGGTTTTTTTTTTAATGAATTTTAAAATAAAAAAAGACTTAGAAGTAAAAAAGAAATAAAAAATAAAATAAAGAAATAAAACGACCTAGATTTTGATTTGGAAAAATGATGGTAGGAAAAGGAAGAAAATACAAAAAATGTAAGGTAATTTATGCGTTAAAACAATTAGAATTGTGAACCTATAATATTTTAAACTTTTTTGTGTTGATTGAGTTTAAAGATTTTCAGCTCAATATGTAAAATAAAATCAACTATATAAGCAAACGATAGGATGTAAATTTTTTTTTAAAAAAATTACTAATTATTATTATTATTATTATTTAATATCTACACATATCTGTGGAAACAACAAACATAATGCTGACCTGTGTAAAGATGAGCTTCTAAAAAAGAAGAAAGCAAAAGCCAAGAGGGAGAAAAGCTTAATTAAATGAAATATTAGGGAGATTACTATAATTTGCAGAAATGTATTAGTGACTAGCTGTAGCACAAGATCTCCTGCAGGGTTTTAGAATTATCCCAAGAGATCAATGAATCACTAACGCCATCCCCCTAGGGTTTAAGCAAGGCCCCCTTTTTCCAAAAAAACACTCACACACAAAATGGCAAATTCAATGGCTGTTCTCTCACGCAGACTTTACCTTTCCCTTCTCTCATCAAACCCAAAAATTTCACAGCTTTCAATGCCCTTTTGCACCTCCTCCACCACCACCACCACTAACAACCTCTCCTTTCGTGAAGAAGAGTCTGAATTGGACGGCTCAGACACTCACTCAGTCCCCAACTCAACCACCTCAAGTTCACCATCATCATCAACAACAACATCTGAAGGATCGAGCGGGTCACGAATGGTCCAGGATCGTCCCCTTGAAAATGGCCTTGATGTTGGCGTTTACAAGGTAAATGCTACATTATACTTAAAAATGTTTACTTATTCCTGTTTTTTTGTTTTCTAATATTTAGTGTTTCAATTGCTGGGTGTTTTTTTTATTTTTTATTTTTTATTTTATTTGGATTTTGGCTGCTTTTCTTTTAGGAATCGCAGAGAAATGAGAAATGTCTCCTGGCTTTGATTTTTTTTTCGTGTCAAATGAGCTAGATTGAAGCTTTATAAAGATTTCTTTTCGGTCTGTAGGCGATATTGGTGGGGCAGGTGGGGCAGCATCCATTGCAGAAGAAGTTGAGGAGTGGGAGGGAGATAACGATTTTCTCAATGGGGACTGGTGGGATTCGCAATAATCGAAGGCCATTGCAGAATGAGGATCCTAGGGAGTATGCAAATAGGTGCGCTGTTCAGTGGCATCGAGTTTCAGTCTACCCAGAGAGATTAGGTCGTGTTGTAATGCAGAATGTTGTGCCTGGGTAAGGTTTAAGCAAAGTATATTTGTTTTAATGCTACAATAGTTATGAATTGGTTGTTAGAATCTTATAATTTGACTCGATTCGATTGCAAATGATGCTGAGTCATGTGGTGAATCACAGATGGACATGAATTATACTAATCATTAATGGTTGAATTTGGTTCAGTATGATGCACTTTAATCATATGATTTGACTCAAGTAGCATAAAGGTCAAATGCCTATTTTTGAAATAGATGGTAAGAACTAAAAATAAGAATCCTATAAGTCCAGATATTACAAATGGCAATATATGTGAAACCTTTTCTTTGATAAATATTTTGATTTGAGACTCTGTAAATTAAATTTCCGCTTAGGGATGAAAAAAGACCAGTAGTTATGAACAAAGGCAACAAAGATGGTGATGGTGATATCATTATTGTGGAGGATTAATACTTCGTATTAAGACTCAGAGATCTGGTAGTTTGCTGGAGATTAGAAGATGCCTTTTAGATATTACTATATATACTATAAGCTAATTAAGTCACTTGGATGATCAAGTACCAAAAATGCCTCGAGCTTTTTTGAATTATAAACATGTAGCATTGCTATTTATCTTTTGTAATGCATATTTTGTTTGTTGCCAAATCTAACATTTCACTATTCAATTTGATAAAAGAATCCCAAAATGGGCTTTCCGATTCAACAGTTGAATTGTGATTTGATGATACACACTTACAAACATGGCTAGTTTCAGTTATTTGAATGTTGGGATTTGGCTTCAAGTGATGATCCTATTACTGGAAAGGTTATCATAGTGATCATAGTGGCCAGTGAGTGGTAGTATCTTTTATGCCAGTGCAACTTCAGTAGAATTTTGAAACCATCCATACCATGGCATACCATCACAATTTCAATTGCCAAACCATTTAGTGAAGGTGTCTTGTACTTACGTTGAAGTTTAGGTTCTAGGAACAAAACATGAGATGATCTTGGAAGTTAAGGTGTTGGGAGGGAGGATGGGTACAATTCATCTTGGGATGGTAATTTTGAACCTTGGAAGCTGTATGAATTGGAATGGAATCATATTCTCACCTTTGTGGTTTGAGGTTCAGTGGTGCATATTTCTTGAGGGTGTGAATTTTATGTGGTTGTATGCATAGCATCATTAAGAGATGATGTTTCTGATGCAGCACAAATAGAAAATTGATAAGAAGTGAGAGGGGAGAAAGATAAAGCCAAGAAGAGAAGAAAAGGAGCTGAGGAAGAGAAAGAAATGAGCTGAAGAAGAGAGGAAAATTAGGGGAGGAAAACTAAAAGTTGGTAACTTTTTTATCCATTCATCATCAACTAACTACAATGTTAAAAATTACATTTAAAGAGTAAAACCCTATAACAATCAACAATTACACTAAAGGGCTGAAGCCTAAAATAGAATAACATCATATCTAGTAATAAAACTCAAATAAAAGTCCAAATAAATTAAACCTAATAACATAGGCTAAAGCCCAATCTCCCATTCAAAGAACAATGGGTTGAGCTACCCTCCATCATCTATGACCATATGTGACCGTTGTCCCCACTAGTTTCTCAAAGCAAGAAGAAACAATGTTCATTTGTCTTTATAGCAACAAAATCATTTAAATGAGTTTGTATATCTTATTTTCATGTGTTTAATATTCTAGCATTTAGGCTGTGACAATGCTTTAATCATTTGGCTCATACATAAGGAAATCTAATTTTGTTATATATTAAACCATGTCTTATATCTGGTGTCCCCGCTAGTTTCTCTAAGCAAGAAGAAACTATGTTCATTTGTCTTTATAGCAACAAAATCATTTTAAATGAGGAGTTTGTATATCTTATTTTCATGGGTTTAATATTCTAGCATTTAGGCTGTGATGATGCTTTAATCATTTGGCTCATACATAAGGAAATCTATTTTCGTTATATATGGATACGTTTTCTTTGAACTGGTGGATGTATGTTATTTAGCTGTAAAGCAATAGCTGTCTAATCAGGAGGTCTGGATGGCTGTGAAGAATGCTGGAGTTATATTAATTTAAAAATTATGAGTAAATTCTACTAGATTTTTAAGATAACTATAGATAGTAGCTGTGAATTTGCTTGCTTGAAATGTTAAGAAAAAAGCAGAGATGTTAACTTGATGTTTTAAGAACTCTGCATATAGAATTTCTAAAATGTAGCGAAGCCCTATTCAGTGCTCTTTATACCATCAACAGTCAATATGTGATCTATAGTAAAAGTTTGATCTCCTAATTTTACTAGGTGAAAATGCAGAAAATGAGAACAGTTTCTGTGCTTTGTAAAAACCTTCCCAATTGGGTATTGCTATTAGCTACTTGAAGTGGTGAAAATGCAGGAGCCCTAGCTTTTGTTCTGTTCTGGGGACCTCTTGTTGCCTGTTAGGGATCAGTTAGTGATGAATCTCTTCCCTATCTATTGTCTTTAGCTTATTAACTCTAGATGGGTATCATTTTGTTATTTACTTCTTGAGGGAGGCCTTTTTCAACCTAAAGGTCCTGCTTTCTCTTCTTGTGATACATGTCTCTGGATTTTCTTATGTTGTGAAATCATCTTTTGTACCTGTGCTTCTTGAATTTTCTTGACATTTGACTTTAACTTTTGTTTACTGCTAACTTTTGTTATGGACATCTTTGTTGCTATCTGACTAGTTTTATTTTTTTATTGTTTTTTTTTTTACTCCTGTTTATTGTAGTTCAATTCTATATGTGGAGGGGAATCTGGAGACGAAAGTATTCACTGATCCAATAACTGGTCTTGTACGTCGTATAAGAGAAATTGCAGTTCGTCAAAATGGTACGTTCACATCTGTAGTCCGTTGACTAAAAATGAGGAGACACTATGATCTTGTTGTTGTTGTTGCTGTTGTTATTTCTATTCTTTCCCAATTTTGTGTTTGGGATTAGGATGCAATTGATGAATTTCTTTTACAAAGATGGAGATTTGTTAATCATTAAGATGGATATGCTTCTTTCCGTCAATATGCATGTCAATACATACAGACTCCTCCCGATAAAAGCATGCATGACAGCAAAACTGCTGTCTGATAATTTAATGGGATCTGCTGCATCAGGTGGCAAATTCTTGTCGAGGCATCTTTCTTTTACTCTTCTATTGATTTCTTGGATTGATTATGAATTATAAAAATAAACCTACAACGCAGTTAATAATTCTTTTTATCTTTTGAAGCACTGGTAATTACTATACATTGCCTTTTTTGGTCAAGTACAGTTCTGGTGAGCTTTTTTTAAAAAAAATAAAAATAAAAAGACTGACTGGTTTCCTTTATTCTTGTTGGATCTAAAGAGGTATTCTCTCTTTAGTCAACCTCTTTCGACCAGATTAGAATCTGTGAGATTAACTTTATTTTTGGACTTCGCAGGTCGGCTTGTCTTTTTGGCAAAAGGTGCCAATGATCAGCAAGCCAGTTCATCGGAGTTGAAAGGTCTTGGCTATTACTAGAAGTGTAGCTAGAACTGCTCAAGTATTAACATAACACTGGCTTGCACATTTGTAGTTATTTTCTCAGTTTATTTCAAGATTAATAGAGGTAGAACAAATGTGAAATTTCTATAACATTGCGTGACGGTAGCAGTTCCATGGTATGAAACATTGCGTGACGGTAGCATGGGAGGTCTGGGAATCAACAATTTCTTATTTTTATCTGGCAATTGATGTGAACTGCTAGCAGTTTCATGGTATGATGGTGTGGCTCAGGTGGCCAGGGTTCTGGTCATTTTTTCACAACTTTTGCAACAAGCTCTTATTTAAGATTTGGGTTATGCCTCCTCGGAAGAGCACCTGGTAGCTTTGCAAGTTATTCATGTAACTGCGTTTCAAACAGTGTTTTTTTAATTTTGAAAAACAAATTATTTAAAATTAATATTTTTATGTATTTGTATGATTTTGAATGTGATGGTGGCTAGAGATATGGGGTCACGGTGGCTGACTGTGGTGAGGATAGGGGCTGAAGGGTAGCGGGTGATGGTTAATGGCAGTGTAGGTAGTGGCTAGGTTAGGGTTTTTGTATGTGGAGGGAGAGAATATGGGGAAGATTTTTTTTTCTTTGGCCTCCCCTCTTGTGTGAGATTCGATCACCATTTTATAGGTAGAATATCTTTTCTTTTTTTTTGTTGTTTCCTTTTAATTGCTTAGTGACCAAGAAAATCAAATTACATTAGTCCCTTTTCTTTTTTATTTTGTGTATTGTAATTTTTTTAAAATAAAACATTAATATTAATTAATGAGAAGAATTAATCAATAATTTTGAATTGTGCCTATTAATAGTTGAACACATAGGAAATAAATTTTTGAATTTTGAATTTTTTAAAAAAGATACTGAAAATTTTAGAAAATAAATTCTTTGTATAGCCAGTGATCTAATGTATTTATACAATCGATTATATGAGTTTACTTCCATATAATGATAGACAATAATAGTTTTCTTGTATTGTTAAGAAAATAAGTTATTAATTGTTATGTCATATTGTATCATTGGTGAGACATGTGGTTATTCTGCAAAAAGATAAACACTTATTATGAAGACAAGTTAATGAAAAATAGCTATGGATGAAAAAAGTAGGTGTTAAACTAACAATTCATATGTAAGAATAAGAGAGTAAAGCGTCATGCCTAACTTGTGGTGTGTGCTGTTCGTTGAGCTTTTCAGGAATTTTCACAAGATTATTAAGTTCTTAGGTGGTTGATACGAGTTCCAATTTCAAGCAAGTGTTTAAACCAGAATGTAGACCATTTAGGCTAAGCCTAACTAGACTGGCTTGTAGTTTTTTTTTTTTTTCATTCATCAAGCATAAATTAAATGTGTATTTTTATTTATTTAAATAGTTTTAATATGATGATGTTAAAAATAATTTTTAAAAAGTAAAAATAATTGTTTTTGTGTCCTTATTACTCCTCCTCATGCTCCATCCATCTTTACGAAGATACTTTACACAGTGACCATAACAAAGGGATTACCTCACACACCCAAATGGGGTAATTTATTTTCTTATGTTCGTTGTTTACAGCTTAGGTTTTTTTCTTTTTAAGAAAATATTGAAGGGATTTCTAAAGATATTTATTCTGATTTCATGTTAAATTCACTAGATGAATGAGGCAGCTCTACTCACTCATTATCAAAAGAAGAGAGATCATGCAAAGGAAAGATAAAAATCTCCCTCTTAGAATAGAGTAGGGGAGTTTTATGATCTTGTGATGCAATCAAGAACAAAATACAACGAGAATTGTTATAATTCAAAACTTTAAAAATATAAAACATCATAATTATAGAAAAATATTTAACTTTTACTCTCTCTTGTCTCATTTATTAAAAAGTTATTGCAACTTTTTATATAGAAAAAAATCTAGAAAACCCTAGTAATGTTGAATAGAAAAAAAATAAATTAGAAAAATCATTCCCTTCAAATAGAAAAAAAAAATAACAAGCTTAAAAATACAAGGGAAAAGAAAGATTTAAATTAAATTAAATTACATAAACTAAGAAAAATATTAATTTATTTAAAAAAAAACTCTTATATTAGTCTTTCTAATTTTATAAAAACTTGTTCTCAAGTATAGACCTCACTAAGAAACCATTCTCCATCACAAATATTCTCGTGTGTGGGTTATTTTATTGTTAATCCTAACATAACACCTTTTTATGAGTTATATCATTATGAGTTCTTAACATAACATTGTTGTACATGTCCTTATTATTTCTATTTGAAAATAAATAGAATATTTTTCTTAATTCACTTAGAATAATAAATTCTCTCTTGATTACTAAAATATATTTATATAGCTTATATTATACCCAATATCTTTTTATTTGTTATTCTTAATTAGAACAATGTATGATAATGATTAAAACACAATACTTCTTATATAAGATAATATTGTAATTTTAAATCTAAGTAATCATTTATACAATTATTATATAAATTTTTTCATACACATATATAATCTTTTTATATAAAATTTTTTATGAGTTAGTTCAATATATATGTTATTTGATAAAAATCTACCTATTAGTTTCAAGTTTCTCTCATATTTTAACTCATGAGAGTAGTGGTTTTTAAAATTTTCTTTCTGATTTGCTTAATAAAAGCTTATGCATTTCACATCTTTCTGTAAAAAAATAATATAAGCACAATTAGAATATTGTAAATGTCTCAGCAATAACAAGTTTGATTAAGACAGCGTCATTTATGGAATGGTTATAATAATCTTTAAGGATATTATTGTATTTTTATGTTCAATGTCAAACTTCGTTATTAATGGACTCTAATAGTGAAAATATTTATTGTTGTTGTGTTTATTCTTGTATTTCATTTAATTTAATTAGGTGGAAAAAACATATTTGTGTATATCAAGAATATCATATAATTAAAACAGCTATATATAATTTGAATACAATTTTTATTTTGTTATTTTTCTCTATATACAACACAACACGAACATACATTTCGGTGGGACAATGTTATGAAATTTCAAGAAATGAAGCAATTTTCTGAATTTTTGAGAGGTGATTTCTCAACATGAAATTATATTTTCTGGTGATGGATGCTTCAGACATTTGGCTTCTACAAAGTAGTAAAATCGAAGACAAATGTTTTTGTTTTATAAAAGGATCAAGTGCAGACTTTAAAGCTAATGCTGGGACCGATGTTGATAAGAAAACAGATAAAATGGTTCCTTTACTGGAGATGGAATTGATAATTCTTGAAAAAAAGAAACTTCGCAGCAAACAAAGTGAAAAGAAAAACGTTTGTTCACTGAATCCATGCAGGAAAAGGACTCTCAATACATAACTTGGGGATTGGCCATAAAGAATTTACTCTCAACGAGTTTACATACAAATAATCTTTACAGAATGGAAACTGACAGCCCATCCTAGATTTAACATGAAGCTTGACAAAGAGGAATGACAGCGGTTGTTAAGAGATGAAAATACAAATAATATGCCTCGATATCAGATGACCCAAAACCAAGCTACAATTGATCCAGTAGCAAGGCCAACCACAAGGTACAGCACTATCACAATTCCGGCAGTCTCTGCCTGCCGTAAGGGGACAACCTTGGGAGCAAGAATCATCAGAACACTAGTCAAATAGCCATTTGTAAGCCCTAAAAGACACGTGAGTATTGTTACTGGGATCTCTGTTCGAAAGAATTTAGGACCGTGCAAGCAACCATAGAAGAGAGGATAAAACAGCAATCTTACAAAACAACCACCAATGGCAATCTTTGCATTCTTTAAGAGATAGACAGCGGTCAAAGACTTGCCAACCAAGTCAAACACATTGTAGCCAGCAATGAGGATGATTGAGTACCAATCCTTGAGAATCTCAGAGTGCACATCCTCCGTTATATATCCTGGGAATATCGATAAAGTTACAACATAGATGATGACAATTCCAATCCCATACCATTGGACACTACAAACAATCTCCCACAAGGTTGACCGCCAGCGAGCTCCAGTCAAGGAACCTTTCTCCTCTTTGTCCTCATTCACTGCCTGAATTTTCAAGTCAGCATAGTACTTCATAATTGGCAGTCTATGTGCGATGTTGTAAAAGACAAGGCAGATGGCCATAACTACAATTCCAACAGCAAAGTAGAGGTTCGCACTTTTTCGCAGACCATGGGAATCTTGTGTATATACAGCTTTGGTTAAAATTCTTAGAATAGAAACAAGGACCCCTGCATTTAACACTTACACAGTTAAAAGTGTACTTTGAAAAATTGGAGCTTCATTGCATGATTAGTCAACAACACATAGATAATCATTACATCCTATCCTAGTAGCACATGATTAAGATCTAGCATATATAGGAAACACACTAATGATTGCAGTAGATACTCGGTAACTCCTAACTAAAAACATGCTCTAATCTGTTCCAGCATGAGACAAACTTTCCGAACATAATTCCAAGTCTCTTCAAAGGAGAGATGATGAAGTTGAAAAAGCCCTTTTTGTTTGCTGCTAACGCTTATCATAGGGTAGATTGGTTAGGCAACCAAACCATCCAATCTTCTTGCTATTTAAGGTCACAAGTCCATTGAGAAATGATTACATCCTAAGGTTTGCATTAGTTTTTGCTTAAAGGAACTGCCTATTAAATTTTAATAGCATCATAACATACAACATTTCAGCTCACAATTTGCACAGGCAACTACCATTAAATGGCAAATCATCACACTAAATTTAACTACAATCTTAATAGAAACAAAAACAAAATTCCAAGTTCATACCGTTATCAATTATTTAATTCGGCAGTAATGCAAAAACGAAACCCAGAAATTAATTATTATGATCCTTATAAACTATATCTACAATAAACGAAGAAAGATTTAGAAAACAATTCAAGAAATAGTACCAGAGGCAGCAGTGCCAGCAACAACGGCTTGCATATACCTCTCAGGCAATTCACCAGCAGCACCAATAAGTCCACCTTGGACTAAAGCATCCGCCATACCCGAAAGTGCCAAAGCCCCAACAGTAACATAAAACCCATCATACAACCCGACCCGACCCTTAATATAAACAGCATCCATAACAGGAACAACCAAAAGAGCCACAATAAAAAGACCCAAACCCAGATTAATTCTCAAATACGCATCAGATTTATGTGCATAAAAAAGGATGATCACTACAAGACACGCCAGGCCCACAAGCATGTAAGCAACGGAGAAGATGCGATCAACTGAGACATCTGGGTAGATGTAAGAGAAGTAATCCACGG